TATTTGCTCAAAATATCATTGATGATAGAAAGGAAATAAAATACACACAATCGTGATAAACGAAAAAAACTGTGTGTTGATAAAGCGTAGAAGTGAATTCGTTTATAGCGTTTGAAGAAAGAAACATTTGTTAATTACTATTTGATTAAAATCGCTACGATTTTTTAAAACGCGACGAGACAAAAATATTCGGACGAATGAACAAATATTTCTAATAAATGTGTTAAGTTTTTTTAATATTATTTATTTTGTCCAACTGCGAATCAAATTTTTGAAGAAGCATGAAAATAGGGAAAAAAGATCCATTGAACGAAATATCATTGATTTTATATCGTGAATAGCACATATCTGGAAAAGATATTAATTAATATAAGAATAAAGTTTAGAATTAACATAAATTTTAAAGAAATAATTAAAATATATAAGTTAGAATAGAGATATTATTTCATTTGAATTTTAAATAAATTAAATAAAATAAAGAAAAAAATAATGCGTAAGCTTGTTACTCTTATTCATTGTAATATGATATGATTTTGATGAAAGTTAGCACATTTATTACATCGCATTTGGAATCGCAAATTTGAGGTAAGAATGAAAATGATTTTCATGCGTATAATTTTATACATTTTTTTTATAAATTTTATCTATAAAATAAATTACGATTCGTTAAAATTTACGAAAAAAAGAAAATTACTTTATATAAAAGATAAGTTTTGTTTTTCAATTTGCCTTTGTGAATATAATCAAATAATTAAAAATAATTATTCTAACCTTCATTAATTCATTGCTGATGTGAATGTAACAGATATACAAAGTGAAATATGATTTTAAGTATTGTTTTGTATCAACAATTTTTTTTTTATAATAGTTGAAAAATAAAATTATAAATATCTGCAATTATCAAAAAAATAAACAAATGATTACTTTATTCGCATATATCAGTCACAAAAATCTCCATTTATCTGCATTACGTGTTATCAAAACTAATAAAAATTCTGCTTTTGTACAATTTTATAAATATGTAAAGCATGATGCGTGAAACTTTTTAATGATGTTTTTAATATCACTTTGAAGGGGTGAAATCAATCCTTAAAGTGTTTTTTTTTAATTTTGTTTAAAACAATATTACAGATAGAAATAAAACTTTAATATATAAAATAATTTATAAAATAATTATTAAATATTAAATAATATATAAAATAATTTATAGATTTTGTGAAAAAACCTTGT